GAGTCTTGCTCTGTTGCCCAGGCTGGAGGGCAGTGGTGTGATCTCAGCTCACTACAGCCTCCGCTTCCTGACTTCAATCGATTTCCTGCCTCCGCCTCCCAAGTAGCTGGGATTACAGGGATGAGCCACAGTGCCCTGCCTTTTTTTTTTTTTTTTTTTTCTTGGTAGAGATGGGATTTCTCTATGTTACCCAGGCTGGTCTTGAACTCCTGGCCTGAAGTGATCCTCCCACCTTGGCCTCCCAAAGTTCTGGAATTATAGGTGTGAGCCATCATGCCTGGCAGGAAAAGTAACTTTTGTTTTTTCTTTTTTGAGAAGGAGTCTTGCTCTATCGCCAGACTGGAGTGCAGTGGCGTGATCTCAGTTCACTGCAACCTCTGCCTCCTGGGTTCAAGCTATTCTCCTGCCTCAGCCTCCTGAGTAGCTGGGTCTACAGGTACCCGCCACTATGCCCAGCTGATTTTTTGTATTTTTAGGGAGACAGGGTTTCACCGTCTTGGCCAGGATGGTCTCGATATCTTGACTTTGTGATCCGCTCGCCTTGGCCTCCCAAAGTGCTGGAATTACAGGCATGAGCCACCACGCCTGGCCGAAAAGTCATGTTTTAAAGCGAGAGGCTGTGCATCCCCTATATCTTGGTAATCAGCATGCAGGATTTGCTGGGACCTGCATTAGGTGAGGGAACATGGCAGATGGCAGCAGATCTGAGCCCGCAGCATCAGAAAGCATCCTTCCAGCCCGAGGTGCCTTCTCTCCGCCTCCACGCAGGACCCTTCCCCAGTGTATGCACCTGGAGCAGGGTGGGGCCGATTGTATGAAGCCCCTTTCGTGAAGGTCCCCGCTGCCCACATCAGCATCACCTGGACCACCTGCTCTCTTTCCTGGATGGCTGGACCAGCCCCAGGACCTCCTGGCCTGATGTAGGGAGCACAGGCCGCCCTGGGGAATGCCTGGTGTATGTCCCCTCCCACCTGGGTACCAGGGGATGAAGCTGTGCTTCATGGGAGGGGACAGAGGCGCTGGTGCCCAGGATGGTGTGCCTGGGGCTGCTGAACTGGACGTGGCCCCTATCGAGCCCCTGTGGAGCCCAGATTGATGTGAGAAGGGTGGGGTAAGACAGGTGACCCGTAGCTTTTACTTCTGTGTCACGTGGGAGCAGCGGCTTAGTCTGCACACATTTTCAGTTTGGAGTATAAATTTCCGTGGAGGAGGAAAATCTCTACTGAGAAGGCTCTGATGTCAGGATTGTCTGTGAGGGCCAGGCCGTGTTCTGGGACAGGACAGGAGCGGAGGGGGCAACCAGGGAAGGCTTCCTAATGGAGGAGGCATTTGATAGAGTCTTGAAAAAGAAACAGTTCCTAGGCTAAGCCAGAGTAAAGACCAGCCACCTAACTTCTTTCTACCAGGTTCTCCGGGACTGAGGCAAAGCAGGTGAAGCGTGACACTGCCTTCCTTTCTGTGGGTTCCAGCCTTTCCGGAGCCCGGCCAGTGCCATTGGAGACAAAGTGGCCTTGGCTCTTCCTTCCCACCCCGCCAGGCCTGGCCTGTGCCTGCTGCACCCCACTCTGCAGTTAAGAGGTGAACCAGTAAGGCTGACGTCGCAAAAAAGTGGCCAGGGGTCTATGGGGGGCGAAGAACAGAGGTGCCGCCCTCAGGACTGTCTGGAAGGGGCTTTTGGGTGACTGTCTACTCCAAGGTGTGGGCAGTCTGTGGTGGCTGGGAGCTGGGCTCACGAGCTGGCACAACCAGAGTTTCCCAAAGCCGTGGTCCTGAGGGCCCTGCCTTCCCGGGATAGCAACCTTTGGTACAATTTGGGAGAAGCTGGGTTAAAGCAAGCCCAGCCCCTCACTGCAAGATTACTCAGTTCGTTCAGTATGCAAATGTGCCTTGGAATCTGAGACAGGGATAACGTTTTACACAACCACAGAAACCTCTTCAGTGTTCCTCTGGAGGGAGGGACGGGGGCATCCACCTTGGAGCTTGGGTCTGCGCTGGTGGTGAGGTGCCCCCTTAGAGCTTACACGGAGGCCGAAACCCCGTGAGCGGTGAGGGGCTGGCCCATTCCTTCCCCCACCTCCGCTGGCCGTACCCCACATCTGCACTCCTCCGAGTGGCTCATGGCTAACTCTGGCCTCTTCAGAGCCAATTGGTGCTGCCAGGATTTCCGTTTCAAGTGATCCCCCTGCCTGGGCCAGAATGTTTGGATTTTCAGGCATGGAGGGGAGATGGACCTCAGGCCAAACCATGCCGGGGGTCAAGGCTGTGCTCAGCAAGCGCTCCAGCCCTGGCCGTCAAACCCACCGTGTGCACGGCGTGCCGGAGGTTACCAGGGAATGAACTCATCATAGCCTGGTCCCCTCACCCAGGCCTGTTCTCAGATTCCCACCGCCAGCCAGGCTGGGTCAGAGCCTTGGAGGCCTTCCTGGGCTTCCCTGCCCCACAGCCGGAGTTCATATGCAGAGTCTTGAGTGAGGTTAAAGGGTTTTCTTCCTCTTCTTTTTTTTCTTTTTCTTTTTCTTTTTTTTTTTTTTTGAGATAGGGTCTCACTCTTTTCACTCAGCCTGAGGTGCAGTAGTGCAATCATAGCTCACTGTAGCCTTGAACTTCTGGCTTCAAGTAATCCTTCCGCCTCAGCCTCCCAACTCCCCATCTCCTGTGCTGAGATTACAGGCACGTGCCACCTTGCCCAGCTGGGGTTTCTGCTTTATACTTTTTCTGTTGTTTCTAAACTCAATAAACGGAAGATATTACATTTATAATCAGAAAAACCAACAAGGAATATTATTTCAAAATTGGAAAAGGGATTAGAGAAACAAACCAAGAAACCTCTGTGATTCCTGCCGATCGGAGTCCGTGGTTGTTAGCGGCTGGCTTAACACAGTGTTTTAGGAAGAAATAGAATAACAGAAAGCAGCTCCAGTGGGCCGAGCCCTGGCTTGCTCTGGATCGGTTTCCTGCAGCTGCTGTAATGAGTGGCCACAAGCTGGCGGAGTCACGACAACACCCAGTCTTCCTCTCACAGTTCTGCAGGCCACATGTCCGAGATCAGGATCACCAGGCTGAAATCAGGGTGTCCACTGGGCGCAGCCCTCTGAGGCTCTAGGGCAGGGGTTCCTGCCCTCGTGTGTGGCCTGTTAGGAACTGGGCTGTGTAGCAGGAGGTGAGTGACCGGCAAGTGAGTGATGCTTCATCCGTATTTACAGTGGCTCCCCACTGCTCGCGTTGCTGCCCAAGCTCCGCCTCCTGTCCCATTAGCCATGCCATCAGATTCTCGTAGGAGCGAGAAGCATACTGTGAACTGGGCGTGTGAGGGATCCAGGTGGCACGCTCCTTGTGAGAATCTAATGCCTGATGATCTGTCACTGTCGCCCGTCGCCCCCAGATGGGTCTGTCTAGTTGGAGGAAAACAAGTTCAGGGCTGACACTGATTCTGCATGATGGTGAGTTGTATCATTATTTCATTATATATTGCCATGCAGTAATAATAGGAATAAAGTGCACAATACAGTGTGCCGGTGGCCGGGCGTGGTGGCTCACGCCTGTAACCCCAGAGTGAAAGTCTGTCTCAAAAAATAAAAAATAAAATCATAAACATAATACACTTGAATCACCCCAAAACCATCTCCCCACTCTTTGGTCTGTGCAAAAATTGCCTTCCGTGAAACTGGTCCCTGGGGCCAAAAAGGCTGGGGATCGCTGCCTTCATCACCTGCCCCTTCCAGCTCCTGGTGGCTGCCGGCATCCCTTGGCTTGTGGCCATGTGGCCCTTACCTTCAACACCAGCATCTTCAGATCTCTCTGGGCTCCATCTCCACTCAGCCATCCTTGTCTGTGTCGAATCTCCCTCTGTCCCTCTCCCGTGTGAGCAGCGAGACGGCCTTTAGGGACCCCCTGGGCAATCTGGGGTGCTCTCCCCACAGCAAGATCCGCAATGAATCAGATGCAAAGACCCGTGTTCCAAACAAGGTCCCATTTTCAGGTCTAGGGAGTAGGACGTGATATCCCTGGGGCCATTATTCAGCCTTCTGTAGTGCCCATGACCCCTCCCTCCCTCCCCAGCCTCCCACCTCGGCTGAGAGGCCATCTCCACCTCCCCTCACTGCCTGGCTGCCCGTGGGGTCTCCTCTGGGCTCTTTGGGAGGAGGTGGTTGCTTGATGTCTCCCAGAAGGCTCGGAATGGCCCTCCCCAGCCCCCAAGAAGATGCCCTTTCTGCCAAGGAGACTGCATTTGAGGTCCTAACCCAGACGGGACTGTGGCCTGAAGTGGCATTTCAGGACTTTTGGCTCTGTCATCTAGCTGAGGGCTGTGCGTAGTCCTCACCTGGTCACAGGGAACTCACCTGGCTCCATGGGGCAGGGCCTGTAAACTCAGAGGTCTGTGGGATGTGACTGGGTTGGGGGTGCAAATATTGGAAATTTGTGCGGGGGCCTTGGGAGCAGCACAAACTGGAAACTGTGTTTTGTCTGAAGGGCAGGACAGTCTCACACCAGCCCCGTGCGGCCAGGCAGGAAGGCCTCTGCAGTACGGCCACGCGTCCTCCCTTTCTCAACAGAAACTGACAATCTGGAGTGTTCAGAGGGATTGCCTGAGTTCTCAGCCTTGGCACGAACACACATTCTCTTTGAACAGGCTTGGGCAAACAGAACCAGCCTCTGTGTCTCAGGGTTGAATGAACCCTTGAGGTGAAATTTACAGACAGACAGAGGATGCCCCCATCCCCACTCCAGGGACCCACCTTGTAGTCCCCCCACCCCCCACCGCCTGCTCTGCTGAGCCCTGGGCCTCAGCAAGGACCCTGACCATGTGCGGTGGGGGACCCCCCAGTAAGCTGCCTCTGGGGACTCCAGGTGAACAGTGGGGAACAGCAGTGATCCCCCAGCAGGGCCCTGAGTTCCCAGAGAGGAAGACTTGCTCCCTCCCAGGGGACGGTCTGAGACTGACTGACTCATGCGTGTGTGGTAGGAATCTTCCAGGAAGTCCCCATCTCGTTGGGCGGGGACAGCAACTGCCTCTGTCACCGCAGGCTAACGGGACGGAGGTGAGGTAACTTCTCAGGGTTCCTCCTGGGCAGGTGCTCCAGAACCTTTTCTCAGCCCGCTGGCTCGGGGCACGGCCGTCCCTCCCGCCCAGCCACGTCAGGGTGCGGGGTGAAGAAAGGCTGGGCCAGCCGGGGACAGAGGAAGGCGAGGCAGGCACGCAGGAACTGGGCTTTTTAAACGCTTAAACCCAAGGAAATCGTAGCATCGCGGGCCGGGGAAAATGAAAGACTTTGGAAGTCGCCAGGAATTCGACTCTGTGAGTTGGTTTCCAAGAGGCTAAGTTAAGCATCTCCAAGTGGATATTAAAAAGGAGCAGCGAGCCTCGGGCGGCGGGGGCTGGAGGAGGCGGAGGAGGCCGCCGGAAGCCAGGCTTGGGACCTCTGCAGCCACCGCGCAGACCGGCCGGCGGGACCCGCGCAGGCAGACCCTGGGGCTGCCGCACTCCCCGGGGCCCGCCTCGGGCCCTCTCTCCTGCCTCGTCTTTTTGGACTTCTCTCCTTTGCTCCCTTTTTCCTCCCGTTTCGAAGAGACAATGCTACTTCAGTTTGGAGCACACACATATGATCAGCACATGGAAATGTGGTAATTCGGATGCATTCGTGATTGCAACAGATTGAAGAAATTAGACCAGACAAAGAGTGTTTTTAGAGGAGGAGGAGGAGGAGGAGGAGGAGGAGGAGGCTGAGAGAGGGAGGGCGACGGGGGTGAGAAAGGGGAGGCCGCCTCTGAGCGGGACGCCGGGACTCCCGCCGCTGCTAAATATATCCGTCGGAATGGAGAGGGACCGGATCTCAGGTAGGCAGACGGCCCCCTCCCCACCGGCCGCCCCCCACCGCCCTGGACTCGGGCTTTATTTATGCTTTTGGGAAAATAAGCATGCAAAGGGTGCTTTTGCTCATTTTTCACAGAAATATTTCTTTTCGTTTTGACGGTTCCAAGCTCGTGGGTCGGAACGCCGTCTCAAGCGAAGCTCTCCGGAGCCTGGATTTTATTGAAACTCGGCTCTCACTTCTCTTTCATTTCCCAGTGTGGCACTCTGGCGTGTCACGGCCACTGTGAAAGGCTGAGGCTGTTGGCGCTGAAACCTGGGGAGGGCGTGGGGGACCTGCTCCCCCCCCCCGCCCCCCACGGCTCGGGCCCAGGGCGGCGGCGGCGCTCAGACCCGGCCGGTGGTTGGTTTGTCCACTGTGTGGTTTGTTTTTCGCCTCCAGCCAAAGTCTGTCTTCAAGGCTGCCTCGGTCTCCTACCTAAAATAGCCCTTCTGTGCCTTCCCAGCAGTTGATTATAGAGGGGGAAGCTCCCGGCACTCAGAGGAGCCGGGTGTGTGTGTGTGTGTGTGTGTGTCCGCGCGCGCGCGCGCACGCGCACGTGTGTGTGCACGTGTGTGTGCATGTGTGTGCGTGTGGCCATTCACTCTGGCAGCCCCCTTGCAGCAGGCACAGACCCATTGGGGCGTGAACTGACAAATGAAGAGAAAGGGGGCTCCCCGGCCTTTAGTCACCCCAGCTTTCCAGGCCCGCCATTCCAGGCTCAGCCTCCTTGGTCTCTTCACTCCCACGAAGCACCGTGGCTGCCATCCCACCACGTGGCCAGCACCATCATCGCTAATCAGCAGTGATGACAGTTTCTGCCACTCATGCCACCCTCTGAGCCCAGAGATGGGAGATCCGGGGTGGTCGAGCCACCCTGTAGGCTTTGGGTGTTCAGAGGTGACCTACGGGCCATGGGGGTGCCACCCCCTAAGTGCCTGGGCCCTGGTCTGTTGGTTGCCACTATGTGTATGTTGGGGGGGGTCCCTGAGAGGCCTGAGAGAGGGAGGCCCATTCCGGTGGCTCCTCTGCAGGACATGTGGTCCCACCTCACCGTGGCTCCCAGGGCCACATCTTGATGTGACGTTGGGACTGGTGGGGCCGGTGTATGTTGTGTCACTGAGCACACCCCATTGGGCACGGCAGGCAGACCTCAGGACGGGGAACGGGAGACGGGCAGAAGGCTCGGGTGACCATGAAACTGCGTCTTATCTGTTTGTGCTCATGGGCGCAGGCCCGCTGGGATGGGTGGGTGTGGGGCCTAGTGCCCTGCTCTCAGCCCAGCAGGAGCCGCAGGACGGGGAGTGCTGGAAGGGGCCTTCGCCAGGGCTGCACAGTGGAGCAGTCCTCAGAGTGGCCACTCCACCAGGCAGCCTGGGCAGACCATGGGGGGGGTCCCCTGCCTCCTCGGCCACCAGCCTGGGAGGACATCACTCCACCCTCCTGGCTGTCAGGGGCCTCGGGGAGCCTCGGGTTCGGCCTTCATTTTGTAGATGATCCAGCCGAGGCCCAGATGGGTGACCGGCAGAGAGGCGTGGATTGGGGGGGTGCTCCCTGGGGAGGTGGAAGTGGTGCCACCCTCCCAGGCTCACTAAACACGGGCTTTTCATGAACTCAACAAAACGCTCTTTGAAAGCAGCCAGTGCCATGCCCCAGAGACTACTCGGATCCCTGCTGGCCTTGGCTGAGGGCAGCACAGCCAGGGGTGAAGTGGGGACCTCCCCTTGGCTGTGCCTTGATGAAAGATGCTTTCTGCAAAATCCCATTCAGATGTGTTTTCCTGTGGGGAAAAAACCGTACATTTAAAAAAAACAACCCAGTTGTAAACTGGCTGCCTTCTGAATGAACACGAGGATCCCCGCGCGGCGTCCCTGCCGAGGGTTCTCGTCCTGGTCAGACCTGAGAGCTGATCTTTCATTGTTACTAAGCTCCCGAGCAGTCCCTGCGGAAGTGAGTTCCCTTCCTGTCCCTGCTGGGTGGCCTTGAGCAAGCCATTTGGCAGCTCTGGGCTGAAGTTCCATCATCTGCAAGGTGAAGGGTGGGAGCAGCCTGGCCCCCAGGCAGCGCCCCCCCCCACCTCCTGCGGGCTTCTGAGTGTCCTGAGTTTTCTGGGTTCTTCTTCCCTCACTGAGGGGCTCTTCCTCTTCTCAGGGCGTGGCTCACGCCGCGTTGTCTGGCCACATGGCACTGTGAGAACTGCTCTGATCCCCACGTGTGCTCTGGCCTGAGGAGGGGCCATGGGGAGGACACCGTGTCTGTGTGACAGACGCCAGCCCGATGACTTCTACAGATGCCTGTGGGTGCCCCATGCCCCACTGGGCTGGCGTGTGAGGCGGTCCAGCTTGGGCTGCCCTGCGGCTGCCCAGGAAGGGTTTGTGGGAGGGGTGGTCCTACCCCAGTGTGTCCACGACTGTCTGCCGAGCCCAGGGAAGCCCCGGGAGCCCTGAGACCTGCCCTCTCGTCCCTCCCCCGGCAGTGTCTGGCTCCGGTCTGGTTTGCCAACGGGGCCTGGGGACTCTCCCGCCCTCCCTGGGGGCTGCGGCCTTCCCCTGGGAAGGTGCTGGAGGGTTTGTCGGCAGGCCGGCGTGAGTCATGGAGCGGTGACTGGCTGCTAAGCACGGCGGGCCACTCCTTCCAGCCAAGGGTCGGAGGTTTTTTTTGTTCTGGACCGGCTTTGTAGCTTTTACAAATTAAGCAGTTTTATCTTGTTCCAAGAGCTTGTATTTCAGCAGGGAGAGAGTCTCCAAGAAGGGAACTTTCCACTGGGAAGCTCCGTGCGGCTGGGAGGCTGGGAACAGGCCGAGGGTGAGCCGCAGGCAGGGGGCGTCTGTTGTCTGTTCGTGGTGGTGAATGCAAGCCCGGGCTCCTGGAGGGGGGTCTGCCACGCTGTGGCTGGATGTCTCCAGGGCCCACTGATGCAGTGAGGCACAGCGAAGACCCCAGCTTCTCTTAGGGGGGCCCTGGGTCACCAGTGGACAGGGAGCTGAGGCCCCATGGAGGCTGGTGCCTCAGCCCTCCGCCTTCCCTCCTGTCCCTCCATCTGCTGTCCCCGATGGCCTCTGCCATTCCCTGGGAGTTCTTACCCCTGGACGCGCAGTGCCTGTCCCATCTCAACCTCTCCGGCTCTGCTTTTCCATCTCCAGGGTGAGAGGCCTGGCCTGATGCGCCCTGCACTTCCCCACTTCCTGCTCGGCCCTGTGGGGACTCTGGTCCCTGAAGGGGTTTCCTGGGGCTGCCGTCACCGAGTGCCACAAACTGGGTGGCTCAAAACACCAGACATTTCTTCCCTCGCCGTTCTGGAGGCCGGAAGTCCAAAATCACAGCATCAGCAAGCCAGTTCCTTCCAGAGGCTTCGAGGGGGAGCCTGCTTCTCACCTCTTGTGGCTTCTGGTGGCTCTCACAACCCTTGACGCTCCTTAGCTCATGGCCACATCACTCGATCTCTGCCTCTGTTGTTACGGGGCCTCATTCTTTGCTCCAAATCTCCCTCTGCCTGTCTCTTATAGGGACACTCATTCTCAGATTTAGGGCACACTGGGTAATCCAAGATGGCCTCATCTCAAGATCCTTAACTTCATAACATCTGCAAAGACCGTTCTTCCAAATAGGCCACGTTCATAGGCTCTGGGTGGACGTAAATTTTAGGGGCCACCTTTCATCCCCCTGTTGTCCCCCTGTGTCTGGATGCGCAGAATGGTTCCATGTCCCAGACTCCTTGCTGGCCCCCTCTGGCCCTTTGGGGTGGCTGCCGGCCTTTTCCACTCATTCCTGTGCTCCTGGTGAGGTGCCGGGGTCGGGCTCAGCACCTGGGAGAATTCTGGGGGCAGCTTGGAGCCGGCCACTTCCCTCCAGGCGTCTTCCCGCCTGCCCGGAGCTCATGGCTGTGAGGGGTTTCTCCTTGTGGTTTTGATCTGCATTTCTCCGATGGTATCTTCTTGTGTTTATTGCTCATGTGTACATCTTCTTGGAGAAATGTCTGTTCGAGTCCTTCACCCGTGTTTGATGTGAGTGATTGTTTTTGTTGTTGCTGACTGTAAGGAGATCTGTAGATTAATATCCGGATACTCATCCCGTGTCCGACCTGTGATTTGCTGCCATTCCAAGGATCGTCTTCTCACCACGCTGTTAGTGCCCTTTGATATGCAAATGCTTTTTCTTTTCTTTTCTTTTCTTTTCTTTTTTTTTTTTTTTTTGAGATGAAGTCTTACTCTGTTGCCCAGGCTGGAGTGCAGCAGTGGCATGATCTCGGCTCACTGCAACCTCTGCCTCCCTGGTTACAGTGATTCTCCTGCCTCAGCCTCCCAAGTAGTTGGGATTACAGGCGTGCGCCACCATGCACAGCTAATTTTTGTATTTTTCGTAGAGACAGGGTTTCACCATGTTGGCCAAGCTGGTCTCGAACTCCTGACCTCAGGTGATCCACCTGCTTCAGCCTCCCAAAGTGTTGGGATTACAGGCGTGAGCTGCCGTGCCGGGCCTGATATGCAAATGTGTTCAATTTTGATGACGTTCCACTTTATCTGTTTGTTCTCCTGCTGCCTGTGCTTTTGATGCCGTATCCAAGAAATCATCGCCAAATGCAGCGTCATGAGGCTTTCCCCTGTGTTTTCTTCTAAGAGTGTTGTGGTTTTAGCTGTTGAGTTTCTGTCTTTGATGCAGGTTGAGTTTATCTTTGCGTGTGGTGTGAGGGCTGGTCCAGCCTCATGCTCTGGACTCTTGATTTTGCTCCTTTTCTCTTCTTACGCCCAGCTGGTTCTGCTGGGAGGTGGGGAGGAGTGGGGAAGTCCCAGGCTGGGCCCGGCCTCGATCGCCCCCTCTCAGGCCAGCCAGGGAGCCTCAGCTTGGCCCAGGACCTGGCTGGACACGCGCCCAACCCGGGAGAGCCTGGGCCTTGGTCTTTCTGGGCGGATGGCAGGGGCAGCCCGGGACCTCCTGAGGCCTGCCCTGCAGACATGCCCCTGGTTCTTGGTGGTGTGGCTGCCTAGC